ATTTGACTTTGTCCTTCTTAGAAGTCCAAGGAGTGGAACGCCATGCTGTATTCCTAGTGTAACTGGATTTGTTCAGATCAAAGCAGGACCATCACTAACCATTGTCTATATTTCATAGACCCCTATGATCACTTTTTGCAATTGTGTGACACTACTAATAAAAATTGCAATTGCAATTAAATAACATCCGTTATTATTGCATCTGGGCCTGCGTAATCTCTGACTTGAGGGGAAGAAGTATTTCATCATGCTTTACAACACCTCATATTTGATTTATGCTAAAAAAAAAATACTTAGAGATGATCTGTGAACACAAATCTTAAGTTACGAAGATATTCAGGAAAACTCACCACAGATTCAGAGGACTGATATGAGCAGCTGCTATCCTGAGATTTGGTACACGGTGACTCTTTCACTAAATATTCCACAAAGTAAGCAGGGCCAAACACCCACTGTTATGAGACAAAAATTGAGGCATAAAAATCAAACCTTCCTATGTGGGGAAAAGACTCAGGTTTGGCAGCATTATATTTACAGAAATGGTACATCTCCAGAGGCACTGTCAAGCCACATACCCACTGTCCCTGCAAGTCACCACACTGATCAAACCATGTACTATGATCTTAGTATTTAACAAAAATGATCACATACCTTTCTTCCCTTCTTAAGAATTTGAATGGGCCCAAGACACCTTCCCTTGGTATGTTTATTTTTCCTCATGTAGATTTGTCTTTTAGATTAGTTTTTTCCATATAAAAAGAGATATCAACATAATACAAGTACAAATGAACCTTTGTTTCCCCCAGTCCACAAAACTCAACATCCACTCCAGGTCTTAACATGGAGTAAAGGCTGTCTTGCTAAATGGTCCATGGTCAGTCAGATGTAAGAATGTAGCAGTAAACAGTGAACCTACATAGGAACCCCAAGGAGACTCTGAGTCCATTTCTCTCACCTTAAGGTTGATGAAGTAAAATTGCATCGCATGGCTCTTGTAGAAATGCCATGGAATAACTCAGGAACTAAAACATGACTGAACATGCACCAGGTCCAACAAAGCAGGAAATGTAGAGAAGAGATCTTGGGTTCTAATCAAAAAGGGTGCTTTGATATTCCCTCTCTGCTTAGGAATCCTGAAGCAACAGTTATGAGGAACATTGTTTGTGTAACTGGCTTGGGCATTTTAGTCTTACCTGGCTAGAAGCCCTGGTGACTTTGATGAGAGAATACTGCTTCGAGGTGCCTTCGTTGTTGAATTTTGCAAGAGACTCAGTGGCAGCTTCCAAAACCCTGGGATCTGACAAGTCAGTGGGGCTGGGGCAGTCAGGGCACATACGGTGAATTTTTCTTCGGGAAACTGTTGATGCCAATGACAGCAGTTAAAAAATATTGATTTTTTTTTTTTTTTGCAGCTGGCCAGTACAGGTTACTGAACTTTTGATCTTGGTGTTATCGGCACCATGCTCTAACCAAGTGAGCTAAGCAGAAGGCCAAAAAAATATTATTTATTTTTAATCCTGTAAATTATATGACCATAACAGTGGCAAAGATTAAAAAAAAAAAGATAATACTCAGTGTTGGCAAGAATAGGTGAGGAAGACATTTTCTAGGAAGGAATTAAGTGTCAGCAATGAGTTTTCTGTAATGAGCATATATTACTTTCATAATTTGAAAAAAAGCTTTTACCTCACACAAATTTATTTACTCTAGGAATTTTTTTTTGCAGGGTCGGGTGGGGGGTGGCTAGGCAGCTGGCCAATACAGGGATCCGAACCCTCGACCTTGGTGTTCCAAGGCCATGCTCTTACTAACTGAGCTAACTGGCCAGCCCTACTCTAAGAATTTTGTTTGACGTCACATAATATATCAATGTAAGACTTTTCCCCCTCAACTAGTTCAATATCTTTTCTCGTCGTTGCCTCTGTAAAGTAGATTGAGTGCCTTAAAATGCTGGGATTTCATTACTGCCATGTCTCACTCACCTTTCAGTCCCTAACACCTGACATCATCTCTAACACCCAGTAAGTGCTTACTAAATGCTTGTAGCATGAACGGGTAAGTGACTGACACAATGGAAGGTGGGAGCACACCCTCTTTGTTTAGAAAATGCAAGTGAGCCAGAAAACAAAATTGGCCAAGTCACTGTGACACTCGATAGAATGATGCTAATACTACAGCCAGAATTCGTTTGGGAGGAGCTGGGGGTAGCAAACCTAGTGTGAAAGTCAGGCTAGGAAAGTTGTTTTTTGCAGCACACATTGTTTTGATTAACTGTGTGTTTATTTGGGTTTGGAGGCTGAGGGAGATTTACATCCACAGCTTGTCACTCGTGCGTCATCTCCACATCACTTCCTCACTTCCCACAGATGCGATGCCTATGACTTCCATCCAAGTTCTGAGACCATGGATTATCTCTAATTATTTTAGGTGAGTCTTGTCTTCACAACCAGAAACCTTGAGCTGTGGCTAATAAAATGCTTGCTCTGCTGCCTCATTACTCAAAGGAACCAGCAGCAATATTATCACCTGCAGCTTGTTAGAAATGCAGAATATCAGGCTTTATCCCAGACCTATGGAATCAGAATCTGCACTTTGGCAAGATCCACCAGGGGAATGACATGCATGTGGTAGTTTGACAAGTAGCCATAATCCTATTTTCTCATGCCGTGGATGCTTTCTTTCCAAAGACTTTTTTTGAAAAAAGGAGAACCCAGAATAAATGAATGCATATACCTACTTCAAATGTCATTAGTTTCAGCCTCATTTTTAGTCCAGTTATTCATTTATTTAGCATTAATGACTCCTTACACTTGATAGAAACTAGGGGAGTATGTAGCAGGGAGACAGAGGGATAAACTATTCTACAACATAAGACTCCAAATCAAGGCAGTGTGTGGTCTGTGCTCCACGAGTGGTTTAGCCAAAGTTTTATAGAAACGTAGAACCAGAGAGCACTGTTCCTTTCTGGAATAGAGAATACTGTGGAGGAGGCACCATTAGCAGTTGTTCTTAAAGAAAGGATATAAGTTCCAAGTGCAGATGTCATAAGGAAAGGACATGCTCAGCAGAGGGAGAGGCACAAGCAACAAGCAGAGATTGGAAAGTGCAGTGTCTTTTCAGAAAACAGTGAGATGGTCAGCTGCCCCTCAAAAGAAAATAGTGAGGCATCCGGGTGAAGGGAGTGCAGAGTTGTTATAGTCAGGAAAATAATGGCACAGACAGCTGAAAAGAGAGCCTGTGGACAAGTCACAGAGATTGTGCCATTTATGTCAGACTGAAAATTTAGGATTTGATCCAAGACACATTGGAGAGCTATTAAAGGTAATTTAGTAAGATTAGATTAACTGCGAGAATAGCAGTATAGAATGAATTTCTGCAGGGAGGGAGGTACTGGAAATATTAAGCAACTTATTTTGGAATAAATATGAAGAAAGGATAGGAGAACCCAACCCTACACACTCTTGGCACAGTCCTGGTTAAATACTCTTTTTCATCTTTAATTAAAATTAACAAAATCCTAGTGATCTCTTACCTGGGCGAAGAGTACAGTTAAAAGCAGGTAAATAGAGAACTCTTCCTGGCTTGTTAATGTAAAACATTGCTTTGCATTGACCATAAACCTGAAACCAACAAAATAACGTTATATAACATGGTGAATGGAACTACGAGTTTTTAAAATAACCCCAAAAATGGAATTTGGAGATTTTATTTTAAAGTAATGAGAAACTTAACATCAAATTCTGTGGTTTTAGGTGGGAGGAACTGCAGCAGTTAAACAAATCTCCTGGAACACAGTTAGCTCTGCTTCCCACTTCCCTCACAGTTAGGAGTGACTGTGTATAACCGAGTTCTAACCACGTGGAGGTGAGCAGAAGTCATGTGTAATTGCTTCTGGGCCCAGCTCTTCCTCTTTCCATAGATTGGTGCAGATGAGCATGGTGACCACGGAAGCCACGAGGCAAAGGTGGCTGAGTCTAGAGCCACAGCATGGAATGAACCTGGGTCTCCATATCACTCCTGGAGAGATATTCCCTCCTGATCTTTACGTGATAAACTTCTATCATGTTAGAGTCAGTATACATTTTTTAGTGTGTTGGTTATAGCAATTAGTGTCACCTTTACAAATATAATTTACAACAGGGTAAAGAGTATTTACTTTTTTAAATCAGGTAAGTGCAATTTTACAAATTTGGTTAAATAATTAGGAAAGATATCTTGATCAAAAAGTTTACTTATGGCTGGCCAGTCGGTTAGAGGACCATGTTACAACACCAAGGTCAAGGGTTTGGATCCCCATATCAGCCAGCCACCAAAAAAAAAGTTCACTTATAAACACTTACATCACTGTCCTGCACTCATGTTAAAAAGTTCACATAAGTTAATGGAAATAATCCCAGGATAACTGAGATCAAAATGAAAATTGACTGTATTATTTTCAAGTCTCTTCTATGGTTATCTTTGAAAGGATAATTTCTGAGGCCTTTTATGTTCTATGATTCTGGGAAATTCTTCCATGTCACCCCTAAGGCTCCCACACTCTAAGCCATTCCTTCCCCTTGCCTCAAACCTCATATCAGTGTTCCTTAAAACAGAGGAAAGCAAAATAAAACAAATTAAAGAAAGCTCTCCTTCCATGGCTTCTGCAGTCTACCTTTACCCCACATCCAGAATCTTCGCCTCGGGTCTTTTTTTTTTTCTTCCACAATTCAAGTACTGACTCAGAGCCTTCTGGAGTGTCGTGAAGGTAGAAAATAATTTTGGGGCAACTTTTCAGTTCTGGTCTGCATGACCCCAGTGGGACTTCTCAGAAACCCTCTGATTAGTTTACTTTGTTCTGTCTACAGCAGTAGAATAAACACATGGGCACCCTGCCTAGGAGATTATAAAGAGGGACATTTAAAAGATGGCACATGTTGAGCAATCCTTATCCTGTAGAAAGACGGCATTTCGTTTCTTTCCCTAGAGCCCCTGAAAACAAGCACTTACCGACTGATGAAGGCTCCTCACCCTACAGTCCTTCCACGCCTTCCTGCTGAGCACATGGCAGTCAGTCTCCAACACGTCCAGCGTGAGGTAGAACAGAGAGCCCAGGCCATCCTGTGGGGAGGGGTGGAAAAATGCATCCCACAGGAAGCAGAAACCCACAGACTGGACAAAAAGCCCCTGCTTTATGAGAGAGTCAAAGGATGTTTGTGAAGATGCCGTGTAAACTGCTGAACCCTAGACAAGTGTCTGAGTAGGATCCCTGTTAGCACTTGTTCCCAATAACGATGAGAGCATTACAGCACAGCCTGGCAGAGAAAAGCGAAGCATTCTCAAGAGGGTTTCCAATTTGGAAAGCACCTGCCAACATGTGTCTCTGGGTTCCCATCCCCAGCAAGTCTCTGACGCTTGTCCAAACGCCTGCCCCAGAGGGGGGAAACATCACTTGCCTGTCTGTGTTCCCGGACATCGTTCACTCGGTCGAGGCTCAGCACATAGCCATCCTTTCGGTCATTGTTGATGTCCTGCAGGGCAAAGCCTGCGACTGCCAGCACATCGGAGTTGTTACAACCCCGGGAGAGCAGAGGTGAGGGGTTGGGGTACTGCTGAGGCAGAGACACTGCCCCACAACATGCAGCCAGGGCACAGAGAACCAGGGGTAAGAGCAGACCCATTCTGTGGGGAAGAAGGCCCAGAAAGGGTCAATATGTGGTCCTATAGCGGTGGGCTGGCTTTCGGGGCTACTTAAGGCAGACTTGAGAAGTTCTATAATTGCAATTTGGATAGCTGACCCGGATTTGAGATACCATGTCCCAACATATTACCTTGAATTGTGAATGTGGATTTCCCTGAGTCAGTACTTTGGATAGGATTTGTCAGTGTATCTAACCTTAGACCCCCTGAGCAATCTCATATTCATGTAAACAAACTGGTTTCCCAACCTTTTTCCAGGCAATCATAACAAACATTTGGTCAAGGTTCTTATGATTGGGTCCCGGTTTGTGTTCAGGTCTCCTCCTGAATCAGAATATGTGGGATTGTCACCTTCTCCCCATCTCCCCTAGTGCCTCCCCTAATCTCATGGGCCACACTAACAGTTATCTCAGGCAGGAGCACGGCGCCACGGGGCCAGTGGTTGAGGGTTTTCTGGTCGACCTCAGGTGTTCACCACTCTTACTAGATCAGGATGGTGGCTTAACCCTCAGTAGCCTACCAGAAACACAGGTGAGATGCCTAATGCACTTTGGGCTTCTTGCTAGAAAGCGTTCTGTTTAGCCTCACTTAGATTCTTTTAAAACGAAGACTTTATTTAAGGGGAAAAAAAAGTTAATGGTATATCAAAAGTTCTCACATATTTAAGTTTATTCTTCCTTCTGTGTATATGTATAGAAGCAAACTCATTAAGAGACTAAAGCCTAATGCCATTAAGAGAAAGATAACGATGGGCAGATGGGCAGGAACACCAAAGACACTGGTTGGGACTCTTGCCTTCCTTTTTCAGCTTCTGTTTGGGCTTCAGGAAGGTTCTACTTATTCAGACTGTGCAAAAGACAATTATTTTTTTTAAAATTTCTATTTAAAAAACACACACAGACACACATTAGTAGTTTGTCATAATAGAAAAGAGCCAAGATGGAAGGAACCCTGGTCCATGAGATGAGCGACATCCCTTCTCCTCCAGCCTTCCCCACCCCCTGCCTGACCCAAGGGTTTTGTGTTCAAATTTGTTTAGGAACCACTGCATCCATCTATGCATATGTTGCAATCTCAACACATTAGCATGTTAAAGGCTCTGCAAAGCTTTGGGGTGAAGAAACCTATTTAACCACATTTTCCTATACTTACTTGACTATAAGTTTCTTGTGAGGAATACGTATTATTAATCCACAAATACACTTTCGGAGTTGATGCACCAGTAGATGAGGATAGCTATCTGTGAGGTTTTTTGATGAGAAACTGGTCAGGGGGACTGAAGATTTTAACTGGAAGTAGAGATCTTCCAAGTGGATTGAAAGAAACGTCCTCTGGCCTGAACAGAAATCAGGGTGTAGGAGGCCATGGCTGATAACAGTGAACTAAACATAAGCAAGAACTCTAATCTCTTTAAAGCATCTATGTTTATTTAAAACTTTAATTTTATTTAAACCTAAATATAATGATTTTATTACTGTGATTAGCTATTGCAATAAAATTGAAATTTTTATTAAAAAGTTGAGTGAAGAATAGTTTTTTTTCCCATTTGATAACCATACGCATAGAGAGCAAAGTCATGGCATTGTAGGTCACTTGGTGGTAGCACATAGGCTCACGGAAAAGAACTCAAAGATAGTTTAGTAAATCCAACCAGCACATTTCCCAGGTGAGGTTTAGGAAGGAGTGCTTAAACAAAAATCATAACTGAGTTAGTGTTAGAACCAGTACAGGAACTTTCTACTTTAGAATTCTTTTCATTAGAGCAAACATTATAGCAATGGCCTAACTGTAGTTCTTTAATTACAAACTGAATGAACTTGGGAAGTCACTTAACTACTGTAAACCTCAGTAGCCCTATCTGTAAAATGGCCTCATTACAGCACCTGCCTCAGAGATTATCACTGTGGAGGGCTAGGTCAGTGCTTGGTACACATTGGTAGCTATTGTGTAATCATGATAGTTACTTGTAATTCAATAAGCACTTATGGAATAACTCAATGCAGAAACTGAGTTAGGCTCTCAGGAATCACGGGTTAAGACTAATAAGATTAATAAGATACAGTCCTAAGTAATTTCTAGAAGTAAATAAATAGTCTTTAAGTCTATAACCCCAAATCTAAAGGTCCTAGCTTCTTAGAGGTGGGCAATAGGCATTTGTTGGGAAAATATAGGAAAATGGTCAGGGCCCCTCAAATGTTCAGAATCTTGCCGAGCATTTGATATAAATATGCACGTGCACCCAGGTGTTTCTTGGTTATTGTCTAACATAATTGCGCATGTGCACCCAGGTGTCCTGCATTATGGACTTAAGTATAAAGTATGAGCAGCTCTAATCCACGACCCCCCCCCCCCACCTCCGGGATGCCCCTATTGCTGCTGGAGGCTGTTGCTGCCAGTGCCCCCGCGATGATCCCACCACTGCTGCTGTAAGCTGCTGCTGTTACTGCTGAGGACTGAGCTCATGTCATCTGCCAATGGCTCCCGGGATCTTTCCCAGTTACCCAGCATGGACCTGCGCATAAGGGGGCTGGTGACCCAGTCTGTACAATGGGCTTAAAGGGTTTGTGAGCCCTAGCCCTGACAATACAAATGGAAACTTAGCGTAACTAAATGAAATGTTTTGGCTTTAGTTATGAAATGCCTAGCAATACAATTAGTGAAGCTATTGCCTCAACCCTACAACTGGCATAGTCGTGTAGCTTTACTGCATTATTTTCAAATAGGTAAAATACTAGAATAGTTATGGAAACCAGAAATAGGTATGGGAACCAGATGTTCAAGTTCTGGGGTACCACAGAGATTTAGCTTCAGCCAGCAAGTGAACATGCCTTGAGCTAGAGCCACGTACAGAAAGAGTTGGGAAGAATATGACCCGAGGACACAGGAGTAGAGAGGGGCAAAGAAGATTGTCTGAGGCCTGAAGAAATGTACAAGGGAACTCAAACTTTGCACGAAAATGGAATTAAAAGATAATGCAAATCTTTCCATGAGCTTTTTGAAGGCCCCTCACAATAGACTTGCATAAGTGAAGGCCAGGAATGGAACTAAAATAAAAGGAGTCAAACAAACAGGATTAAAAGGGAATTAAAAGCTGACAGAATAGTAAACAGGACTTTGGTCCAGATGTCCTGGTTCAGCCCTTAGCCTTGAGTGCGTGGCATAACCTTTCTGAAGCCCAGTTTCCTCATGTGTGAAGTAGGATTTAGAACCCCACCATTGCTAAGATCCCTTTCAGCTCTAGTGTGAAGGTATTCCTACCTTTCTCCATATCTGGCAGCATCCCATTCCCATAAAGGAGATATTGCTCCTCAGATCAAATAAGACGGGACTTGCTCACCATCACTAAGGGACCTGGGTTTCAACTGAGTCTCAAACAACCAGAGCCCAGACTCCTCCGAGGTTGCGGAGTACGGGAGCCCTGGGAGAGGCGGCAGGGAGAAGAGGCCAGTCTTTGGGGTAACAGTCCTGGCTTTAAATTTCATCTCTGACACTGTAGGGTAGAAGGCCTGAAACACTGGGGGGAGAGGGGGCATGAAATTGTTTCCTTATTCATAAAACTCACTCCCAGCCTGTGCGTACACAGACAGTTGCACCCACTTGTATAAAGAGGAACGTAGTTCCTTTCCCTAGAAACCGCAACCTAGTTACACTTATGTTTGGTTCGCATCACGCGTGGGGACAACTTTAGTATCAGTGTAGAAGTTAGTTTTGGCATAGCAGTGAAGAGCAAGTCTCTAGAGACAGGTTCACCTGGGTTTGAACTAGGTAATTGTCTAATCCAGTGTAGTCTAGTAGAGATACAATGAAAGTCCCGTACTCTAAATTTTCCAGTAGCTGCATTAAAAAAGTAAACAGAAAAAATTAACATTTTGTTTAACCCAATCTAGCCAAAATATCATTTCAATATGTGATTATAAAAAATTGAGACAGATGACATTCTTTGTTTCACACGACGGCATGCCTCAATTCAGACTAGGCACAATTAAGGTGCTCAAGAGTCAGATGTGGTCACCTAATTAGGCAACCCAGGTCTAGCCCTCGGGAGCCTGAGGCTCCTCTTCTGTAAAGAGGAAGGTAGCAGGAGTATTCTCATCTCCTGAGGCTGCTGTAAGGACTGATCACAGGGGAAGGGTGTGTGTGAGGTGCCTAGCACAGCCCTGGCACATAGGACAATGTCTGTCAGTGCTGTGGCTGTACCGTGTGGTCCTCACCTTGTCTCACACAGTGCAGATTCCCATGTGATTCCACCAGCAGCCTTGTCCTGGTCCAGCTACAGGGAAGTGGTCACACCTGAACACATTCACCACCAGGTGAGCCAGGTTAGAAATGGCCAATTTTCCTTGATTGAGAAGGGGCCATAGGAGGCCTCCCGGCCCAGCCTCCTCCTGACACAGGTGTGAGTCAGAGCAGTGACTTAGGATTGTTGACTTTAGAACAGGGAAATGTCAGACAGGTGAGGCATTGTTTCCTGCACAGCTGGGAGGTGCAGTGTATGGGATTAGGTCTCTGGGGAGTTAGAAACAGATGCACCAAGTTTTCACCTGAGGGAGTGTACTTAGGAAAATTGTGCGGTAGCCACAGCTCGAAAATATTAGGCTGGTGCTGCCCTGATTAAATATGGCCTCTGCAGCTGGTTGGTCTGTTTCTCTCCCCTTTCCTCCCTTTATCTTTTCTTCTTTCCACAAACACTGAACGAACATCTACTCCATACCCTGCTAAGGCCCAGCATTATGTGTAACACTGATGAATTCTCAATATACGCCCAGCCCTGTGCTAAACACTTCCTGCTCCTTCTTTCATTTAAGCCCACAGCCAACCCAGGGCTGTAGGGATCGCCATTCTTACCATTGCACAGATGAGGAAACTGAAGAACAGAGAGGTTAAATAGCTTGCCCAAGGTCTCAGAGCCAGAGTTTGCATCCAACCTATACGGCTTCAGAGAGCAAGGCACAGTTCTTACCCTCAAGGAGTGGATACTAGA